AAAAGTAGTCAGAGATGGTGGTCTTTTATTAAAACGTAACTCTGTAAAAGCACTAATGCAGAAGTTTTAGAGGTCAACAAAATGGACGACCAGACCTTTCGGAGCCTCAGTTTTCTCGCGCCAAGGCCCCGCCGGTTATCAAAGACAGGGTGCACTGGGACTCAAATTAAAATTTGCATTGCAAAAAAAGCTACCACCTTTGCTCGAGGTTGCTTGGAAGTTTCTTCCTTGAAGTTTTGCCTAATGCCGTGTGTACATTACAAGAAATGCTCCCAAACGTGTCTCAGACACAAACGTTTGCTGGTGGAACAAACTGGAGAGAAATTCGCTCACTTATTCAAGTGCCAGAAACAAAGCGACCTGAAGATAGAAAGTGTTGTCTTTGAAGTTCCTCGGTATGTAAGCTTACATGTAAACTTAAGCTTAATGAAAGCTTTTTTATTGCTACTTTTAATTACTTTTAAAAATGGTTGAAAAGACTTTTACATGCTTTGAGACATTTATTTAGCCAAAGTAAATCGATGTCTAAGCTCGGAATGTCTCGAGGTATATGTAAGCTTAGTTCACCAGCTTACATGTATTTATACGGTTTGTACGAGAAGGAAATAAAAATCATACAAAAATGTAAGCTATAGGATAAACAAAAACGAAAGAAATTGTTCTCCCTGATTGATGTGTGACACTTAAATGGATATAAACGCTCAAAAGAAAAAATTATTGAAAGCTGATAATGAAGAAAAATGTCAGTGTCATCTTGTGAAAAATCACAAACTTTTCACTGAAGAAGGGCTCAGCCCGAAACGTTTGTAATTTTTCACAAGATGACAATTTGACATTTTTTCTACATTATCAGTTTTCATAGATGGTTTCAGGTCATGATTTCATGATGTCACAGTTGTCAACCTAATTTGATGGCAAGCAGCTTTACTTCTTGCAACTAGTAAAGCATTTGTCCAAGCCTGTTCAACATTTTTCCTCCTTCGCTGTTTTGGTTGTCCCTTTTTTGGGAATTTGTCCCTCCTCCCAGCCCCCACCCCCAATAATAATCTGAATAGTGGACTACCCCATATTTGAATGTACAATTTTCATTGGCCTGTACTAAATTTACACGACTGATTGATTGTTTTAACATTGTGGGCATAATGTTACATATTCTACTTTTAAAGGTTGACAGTACGTCCCTTATTAAAGACAGTAAATTAATGCCTATGTTACTTATCAGGTAAAACATGAAGCACATGAACATTAAGTGACAGGCGTGGAGTACTGAAAGGCCAATGGTGAACGTCAGAGAAAGCTATTAAAAAGGTAGGTAATTTTGTGTGGAGGCAGCTATAAGTACTTCACGTAGTATTGGTTGGAATTGATCTTTCTGTTAAAAAAAATTAATGAAGGGGATGACGCCATATAATTTGAACTTGACACCATTATCTTAGTGTAGAGATGTCAGGACTTCTGTATTACAAGTGCTAAACTTATCTTGATGTAAACGTTGAATGTGGCCTTTCTGAAGCATATTGAATAATCTTGTAGGGTTCTTTCAAGTGGGGTGTTAATGTACTCCGGTCAATGATGCAATGGATTGGTGATTAGGCTTGGGAAATTAAATTGACTTGATAATACAGTATTTTAAGACCTCATTTAAAGGAACACTAGGTTATCTTGGTGTGTTGAGAAGGTTGGAGAATGCAATGCATTATGGGTTGCTGGAAAAATGTAAATTATAAAGCTGCTGTTCAATTGATCACTTTTATTAATACAGCATTTTTAATGCTATTTTTAATGTTGCATGTACATGCAACAACTTCGACTCAAAAGTAAAAAGCAACTGATAGGTCTTTCATTGAAATATTTTCATTTATTATCAGACAAACAAAAAGCAAACAACAACCTATAGGACAACTAAGATCAATGGAAGAGACAGATCCAGCTAGATCAGGTCAGTTTATATTTCTGGTATCGGCAATGGTGTTCACAAGTGTACCTACACTTGTACATCTTATTACTCTTATGAGTTGTTATTCCATCAGTTAAATTTACAATGCTAAATTATACCAGCAGTAAGAAATTGTAAGTAACTCAACAATATGTTTGTGTCTCTTATCAGGGCAAGCAAGAAACATCATAGACACAACCAGTGGACGAAGTGAAATATATCAGACATGGCAGGTCAGTCAAAGTTCTTTATCTGTAGTCAGTGGACCAGAGTATCACTATAATTTTAATCACTTTGAAGAACAGGTACAGTGTACCATGATAGGATGGAATTCAGTCTTGAGAAATTTGGTTGAATGACTCTTGTAGGTGTCAAGATTCTTTGGGAACATCCCAGGGGTTTCATTAACATTTTCAGCAGAAGGGCAACTGGTTGTCACAGGTGGGCAAATCTATTTGATCTGAACTTTTTTATAAAAAAAATTTTCCCCTGGATGGTCAAACCAGCCAGGCAAAATCATCCTCACAACTGGTCAATTTGCCCGGTGCCCGGCCCTTAATGAAACCCCTGCGCATCCATGCCTTTTTTGATTACATGGAATGAGTCTGTAGTTCTTTGGGAATTTTTGCAAGGATTTGTCAACTGAAAGCAGTGCTTCTTCGTCATACTACAAGCAAATTGTGTGAAGCTCTAGTCAATTTTTAAAATTTCTAGTTTCTCCTGAGGTTCGAAAATGTTGACCTAGTTCTTAAACTGTACAGGCCTTGAATTGCACAGGATCAAAATGATTATGAATTCTCACCTCTTATTTCTTCACCTTATTTTGGGGATGTGAGTTTTGAAATTTGCTTCCTGTTTACAATATTTCCTAGTTGCTGATTAGTCTTGTTCTCATCACTTGAATAAGTTTCCGTTCGATAAAGTATTGAAATGCATGTAATTCGTAAGAAGAAAATTATTGACAACTGACATGTGGCTCCAAGTTTTTACTGACAAATCATGCTTTGATCTCAACATCCACACCGACAACTGACAGATCATTCCTGACCAAATTTTATCTGACAAGTTATGTTTCCATCACAACATTTATACTGACCACTGACAGATGATTCCAAATTTTAACAGACAAAATCATGTTTTGATTGCAATATTCATACTGACAACTGACATATGATTTCAAATTTTACTGACAAATCGTGTTTTGAGCTCAACATCCTTACTGACAACTGACAGATGGTTCCAAATTATTTAATCCATATTGACCACTAAAAGATGGATTGGAATTTTAAGTGACCATTCATTTTCTTTTGCTACATCCTTACTGGGACCACAGAGATGGCTTGAAAGTTACTGATGGGCAAGTCCGGTTTTGATCTCAGCATCATTGTCAACAATATTATTATCAGATGACTTAAAATTTTAACTGACAAATCTTGCCTTGATTACTACATCCTAACTGACAATTGACAGGTTACTCCAAGTTTTAAGGTGATTTGTTAGAATTTCATTGTGCATCCCTACTGTGCATGATCTTTCAAGTTTATGACTTTACCACTCGCTCATAAGTGTGTGTACATACACAACAGCAAGAGATTTCCTTCCAGCTAAGCTCAAAAGTGAAATAAATGCTTGTTTTCGCTCAAATGAGCAAGGTGACTTATATTTTTTATAACATAATTGTGGTGTCTAAATTATCCTCTTTTAGTTAAAAAATTTTTTAAAATGTTTGTCACCAGAAAGTTTGTTTCACTAGGTTTGCAGAGCAAATGTAAATTGAGAGAGGAGAGTACATTACACACAACACCTTTATTGCAAATATTGTACACAGAAAAGGGAAGCGTAGCAACGATAACTGTTGCTGAGGTCTGTTAATCTTCACCTGGGTACTGTTTACAAAGTCTACAACTTTATAGAACAGCAACAACAACAACAACAATACGAGCAACAACATGAACAACAACTTACAGCAGCATCAGTTATTGAATCAAATATTGTCACAGAAGCATTGTTGGTCTAGTAACCAGTCTGCAAATTCAACTTTTTTCCTCTCTGTTTAAAGAACAACCGAAATCAAGAATTACATCATAGCATTTGTTAATGCAAATAATGTTGAGGTTTTCTGATCCACTAGCTTACAAAGTAATCGAAATCCAGTTTCTCCTTACAAAATCAGTACATTGTCAAGCAAATAGGTGATGAGAATAAAGACAATCATCAATACGGGAATTCTGTAGCCAATAGGTATGGAATAGGATGAAGAAAGCTTCACGTAGTTGCAAAGAATATACAAACACAGTACAAAGCTTCAGTATGATATATATCAAACATTTTTTTCTTTCTTTCAGGATTTCTCAGTGACCAGACGGTTGACGGAAGATAAAGGCAAAGACAAGACACTGGAGGCAATATTAAGAAGACAGGACACTTGGGACAAGACATAGTATGCAAGGGATAAAAGTAAGATGAATTGAGAGATTTTTTCCAAGCCAAAAATTAGGACGTGAAAATAGGATTCTTTTCCGTGGACTAAACGTTAGGATCCTCACAATTAAATAGAAAATGAAGGCTGTCTATAAAATGATTTACAGTTAGGTTTTGTAGAAAATGTGTCGTCAGCTTTGCGTTACAAATTTTTATCCAGTTTTAGTCTTTTCGTCTTTGTTCACGATGCGAGAGCTTAGTGGATTGTGTGGCTGACGCGTACGTGACTCTTGAGCATCAGCACTGTTGCGTTACACTTGCGGCCGTTGAGAATATGTTTATGAGGCTTTGTGCGGGAATTTCAAAACACGGCATTGTAACAGGAGATTTAACTGTTAATTTAGCAAGTAAAGATCGTGAAGTGCCATTTAATATTTTGTTGGCTTGTTTAGACAAACGGCAAGGCAGCTGGGTACCAAAAGAAACTTTCTTTTCTTTATTTTCCGAGTTCGCAGTTAAAATACTTCAACATTTCCTGAATTTGTATAATTCCCGTGCAAAACTTTATTGACACATTCTCAACGGCCATTCGTGTAACGTAATAACACTGTTGTTCAATAGTCACGTACGTTTCTATCATATGATTCACCGATTTCTCGTATCATGAGCTTCGAAAGTCTCTAATTTCCCTTGCGAAGCAAATTTTTATAGTTAGCCTTCGTGTTTAGAATCACATCTTTCTGCTAGTTTTCTTTCACGGACCTATTTCAAAATGGATTACCTTGATTGTCCAAAATCTCTCAACCAAAAGTGACTTTAAAAAGTTTTCTTGAAACCAGAATGTCGCTGCTAAGTTTTTGTCGAGTTATTTTAAACGTTTTCCATCAAGTTAGTATTGTACAAAATCAATTTCTCTTGTTAATTAAATGTTTCTAAAAATTGTCTTGACTGCCTAAATTTACTCTTAGGGTAACCCATGTCAAAATTTAAAATTTTCCCGCCAAAAAACTTAGAAAAAATACGGGCGCTTAAAATACGCATGCGCCATTTTTTTTTTTTTTTTTTTGTATTTTTCTGTGTCAACCTTGTTGAAAATTTTTATTTTCCCGCCAAAAAACTTAGAAAAAATACGGGCGCCTGAAATACGCATGCGCCAATTTCTTTTTAATTATGTTATCTTATAATATTTTTAATTAGTGTATTATTATTACTTTTAACTGTTATTCAATGAAGTATTATTTCATCCACTCAATAAAAGTAATAAATACAACTCTCAAACTTGTTTTGTTTTCTTTTGTTTCTTTTATTGACACATAATTCTAATTAAATAATGACAAGTCAATAACTCACAAGTATTGTTTAATTAGTTTATTGAAATTCAATTCAATTAATTACAAAGGTGTCAACAAAAAAGTTGCCCTATATATACTAAGACTTTTGGCGGGAAAATTGGAAAAAATTTGCACAGCGTTTCCCCTGACAACTTTTTTGACAAAAATTTTAATGGGGTACCCCCTGTAACTTTTCCCGCCAAACAAAAATCAACATATACCATGTTGAACACAAACTAACGAAAAAATCTGTCTCCAATCACTAGAGTTTTTCAAAAAACTAAGATTTTGAATCTGGTAAATATTGTTTGTGTTCAAGATGGTATATTCCATGATGATATCTTGTTAAATAGTCAACCGTAAAACGACGAGCAGCTAGGGACCTATTTACAGATTTGAGAAAAGCAAGTTAAAATTTCTACAGCTGCAACGTTTCTACAAAACATAGAGAAGATAAAAACATTTCAAAATCGAAATATTTAAGAAGTTTATATAGCCGGGTAACTTGCTCCTCAACTACATAAACTCTCTTAATTATAGCGATTCTAAAATGTCGCCACCTTCTCGAATGTTGTGCAGAAACGTTGAAGTTGCAGATATTTTAAATGTCTCGTCTCATCTCTGTTTATAAATTTCTAGCTGTCCGTCATTCACAGCTTAGCTATTTAACGTGATATCATCAGCAATATATTTCAAGAAGATAGCAAAGGCAAGCCATGAATCCGGTAACTCTTACGAAAAAATACAAAAACCGCGAAAACTTCAATCCAGTCCTAGCGTTAGAGAAATTTTAGAGCTTCCGTCACTTTTAGCCGAGATGAAAAAGCAAAACCCGACAAATTATAGGCCAATTTAACAAAATGTTCATGGCTTGCTTCGTTATCTTCTAGAAATTACTTCCAGCGAGGTGTTAAAGAATAATGTCTGGTTATCAAGCTTCAAAATGTTCCACTATATACCGGTATCCTATGGCTTTTGTTATAAATGTTTTATTAAATCTCTGTCATTTGCGAACGAAAGCAGTAACATTTTAGAAGAATGAGGCAATTGAAACTACAGCTTTGAAAAGCAATAGAGCTAGAAGCAACTGTTTGGTAAATGTTTGTCCGTAGCAAACGATAGCAATAATTAAAATTTTAGAAGGATCAGACAATTGGAGCTATAACTGTTGAAAATCAAGATGTAATAGGAATACTTTTAGTAAAAATGTCTGTCAGTTGCAGACGAAAGCACAATCATTTGGAGCTTCTAATTTTTGAAAATCATCAAATCTATTCGTGAATAATTTTGGTAAAAAATGGTCATCACTCCAAATAGTAGCTTTAACGTTTTAGAATATTCACGCAATTGAAGCTACGTTTCTCAAACTCAATATATCAGATAGTATAAATATGAAAGCCAAACCAATTTGAAAAAAACAGACAATTAGACCAACATTTTTTTGAACGAGTTGCTTGATACCAGACATAATTCATTACAGCCTCGCTGAAAGTTAAACAAGAGGATATATTTGGTTTCTGATTGACCTTTTTGCGCTTAATCCCCTTCCGATGTAACGATATAAACCGAAAGTTTTCCGTACAGAAATGTATAAAAGAATATCTGCCGATAAATCTAGTATTTCAGGAAACGAAGATCAATTCAGAAACCCAATATCCTCCTCTAGAATTACTTATTTTCAAGGTGGCTCTGCATGTCAATACGCGATAAATGTCAAATGACACGAAAAAAAAAATAAGAAAAAAGAAACACGAGCGGAACAACGAATAAAAAATTTTAAAATAATATGTTGTGATCATGTCAACAAATGTTTGAAATATTCAGAAATTAACTTGAATTAAGTTGCGAAGAAATTCAGATTTACAAAAGGCGAATCGTTAACGATTCCTGGAATAATTTGAGATATTTCATAATTTCAAATGACGAAGAAAGAAACGATAGAAATTGTTTCATAGTTATCTGAACACTTTTAATTAACTTCAATACATGCTGCAGCATTTTCAGATCATTTGTTACATTAAATAACTAATTTTGACCCAGACTGAAATTGCACTTTTAACTTACACAATTCACATCAGATGAATTAATTCGCGTGAATGTTTGGAAAAAGGGGAAAAAAGTATTAACGTTACGTTCACGTCTATTCGGCTGCAAATCGAAGAATCGATAGAGACACTTCATTAATTTCGCATCTGAAAATGCCAAAATTTTAAAAGTAGAAATAATTCTATCCACTGAAACAATTTTCCACGACCAGTCATTTAATCTTGTTTTTGAGCAAGGGAATTGCCCTCCAACAGACAATTCAAATTATAAATTGAAACTTGCCCTTCATAAAACTTAGTCCTGAATGCGATTTTGGAGAACCAGACAAATTAAATGTTTATCGTTGAATTGTTTGTCAAAGTTACGTCAAAACAGAATTTGCTATTATGATTGACATGATCACGTAAACATTAGTTGCTCCGACGGTTTGATTTCAACGTGCAGTGCCACCTTAACATACTCTACAAAGGTCATCGCCTAGTAACAGGTTTTCAAACTTAGGAGAGTTGAGCGTTTGTACAACTATTTGGAATTTTCAGAAAAAAATAATACTCGACTTTGAAAAGATACACGTAGTAAAGCATGCAAATGCCGAACCGATAAAATATAATTTATTAATCACGTTGATGATCGCTCGAGCAAAAAATTAAAACTCCCCATAACTTGAAAACATGAACAAAACGAAGCTCGAAAGCAGTAGAAACCTTTCCTTCAAAAGTGGCAGGGTTAATTAACAATCACTCTCGAATTAATTTTTTTTCGCGCCCTAATGTCACTTCAATGCAAATATTTCAGCCGAGAAAAAAAATACAACTTTGGACAAACAAACCGATTTTGAACACTATTATATCTTCTTTCATAGTTCAGACTGCCACTTCTTATCGGAGAGATTTCAATGTAACCAAATTCTCAAATGCTGTTCTTAACTTTGTCTTCATCCTCCCTGCTTAAATCCTTTTGATCTCCTTGTGTTTTCCTGATTTTCCTGTCTTCAGTCGTTTACTCCCTGAAAATAGAATAGATAAAATTACTCAAGGAACAAACCCAAGTGTAGAAACAAACAAGTAAACGAAGAGTAAAGAATTCACAGGGAATTGTTAAGCAAGAGTGCGCGT